CCCAGCAACTCCTCGTGCCCACTCCCACTCCTTTCTCCTTTCCTTCATCAGTTCATCCTATGAGCCCCAAGGGGTGACTTTTAGGGTAAGACCATGCTGTTAGGTGGCCCCAGAAGCTGCCTGACACTGGGCCTGCAACACTACCGTTCCCCTGTCCTAAGAGCACTGCCCAGCAGGGGCTAGCTGCAGAATAGCGCAGGATCAGGACCTTGGAGAGCGCCCTCCTGCAGGCTTCCCCCGGAGCATGGGCAGATCATCCCAGCTCTGTCCGGGCACAGCTCAGTGAGGACCAATAGAGGAAAGAAAGAAAACTAGCTGCCACGGTTGATTCCAACTCATGGCGACCTCACATGTGTCAGCAGAACTTGGCTCTATAGGGTTTTCAGTGGCTAATTTTTCAGAAGTAGATCACCAGGCCTTTCTTCTGAGATGCCTCTGGGCAGACTCGAACCTGCAACCTTTCTGTTAGCAGCCAAGCACGTTAACTATTTGCACCATCCAGGGACCCTTAATTCTCTTCTGCCACTTGTCTGAGGACACCTGCCTTAAAGACCTCTATCCTCAGGGAAAATGTCCTTTCTGCATTCACTCATTCTTTCAACTTTAAACAAATATTTATGGAGTGTATATCGCGTGCCAAAACCAAAGATACAGACGGGAACATGATCCTGCCCCGATGGAGCTCATGTTCCAGCAGACAGATTCATATACAAACAAATAATGCAGGCAACCACGACTTTCCGACTCCCACATCCCAGGGAGGGGACCTGAGAAGTGAGAGAGGGAGACAGGCTGGGCAGCAGGTCAGGGCTGCCCACAGTGGACCTGGTGCCCAGCCTCACCTGCTGGCCCCAACCCCTCCCGGTGCTCCCAGACCACGATGAGTGTGCCACCACCAGCATGTGCCTCAATGGGGTGTGTCTCAACGAGGATGGCAGCTTCAAATGTCTGTGTAAACCTGGCTTCCTGCTGGCGCCTGACGGCCGCTACTGCCTGGGTGAGTCCTGAGGCCAAGGACCTGGAGCCAGAGGAGGGGAGATGGGGGAGG